CATTGATTACTAATTAATTTACTAATTCACGATGTTTGAATCTCATTAATTAAACAGCATACTTCCCTTTACTGCATAAGCGAGAAAGTAAAATTTATTCTGAAATAAAAAAATACATTTTTATAATATGAAAAGTGAATATGCACTACACCAAATCACTACACATAGGATTTGTCGTTCTCCAGGTGTTTACGTACGCTTCCCTTGCCCTTCCGGAAAGGAATGTGGGCGCTAAAGTAATTGAGATATTTGCGGGAAACGTACACGGAGTGAGCATGACGTCGTATTGTTAATATACAGGCCGCAGGTTCGAGCTCCACCGTGGGAATGGTTGTTTGTCTCATGTCCAGGGGATAGGATAGAACAAGATGAGGGAAAGATCACGCGCGATCCGTGCCCGTTTGTAAGGGTATTAGTCCGGCTTTCGCCTAGTATTGATGGAAACAATTGTGGAAAACTGCCGCTGAGATCAGACGTCCCGTAGAATTCTCCTCCACGCAGCGGCTAAATTCGACGTATGTAGAAAATCCGAATGCTAGCACTTCTCAGAAAGATTTGCTGCGGGCCACGGTAAGGCTGTCTCTGAGCTAACTCACGTGGTCATGAACTATGCTAACGCGATCACCTGTGTGCCCCAGCCAGAAAATACGCTTTCCGTGCAGTGGCTGCATATAGAGGTGTCGTCGCCTGAGCCAGGCAGCAATCTGCGCAGCGCCGTAACTCCCCGCTCGCCTCCTCGTGCGTTGAGCGAGGGCAGCGTGCGGCATCAAATCGCGTGTTCGCCGCACGTCAGCGCCACAACCACAACCTTCGTCTTTGCCCACGCACCCACGGCGCGGCCTCCTCCCTGCCCCCTCCTCTGCGGTCTGCTGCTTCCGACGCCTCCTCCTGCCCCTCGGACCTCTTCCGTTTCCGCCCTGCTTCCAATGAGCCTTCCCGTCGACTGTGCCCCGTTCATCCGCCGGTCCTCCCCCTACCCGTCTCCATCACAATCGTCTACTCCACCAACTCCGTCCTCCCACACGTCCTAGCCTCCCCCGCTATGTCCCGCTTCCGCACCCTGCGCGGGTTGCCGGCACGGCGCGCCGAGCTGGGTCGCGTGGGGCCACGGCGCTCGATACACGCAGCCGTGCGCCTCCCCCCGCCCACGCCCACACGCACGGCCCCGCACCCAACAATGAAGCAGTTTCGATTTGGACCGAAAAATGCCGCATGTTCTCATACAGCGCGTTCCGAATGAATTCTCATACTCGTACAGCTTGTGTTTATTACCGCAAATGCCTGCCCTGCTGTTGTTCCTGGTTGGTGAGGGGTAGTCTGAGGCGTCTGCTGTACTGTAGTCAGGAAATATAAAACGTTTTTCGACTATGCGCTAGAGTCTATGATAACACATATAATGACGTACAAATCTGAGCAAGTTTTGGGATTTAGCTGTCCTTTCTGCAAAGAGATATACTGGGATCGGATAGTGATATAAAATCGCCCACAACGTCGCCAGCATTTTGTTCTCAAAAATTCCTTCACTACATTCCGCGTGCCATACACGAGTACACGTATTCATTTGTCACAAAAGCAGAGAATAAATTAGATGCACAGTCACGTGCTCCAGCGGTCTCGCCAGTGATGGTAGACGTGGCACCAATCATAACGCAATGCCAACGTACAATGCACTGCCAGATGACATTGAACTATTGAAGTCGGTTCACAAATTTAACTCAAAAGTAAATATTTTTCTGCTGCATAACTGTTTCGATACAATTATACACTACACTGATTATCAAAAAGAAAAATAATAATGTTTATTTTAACAAAACAGTGATATATGATGAATTAGTTTAAATTTGTATTTTATATTTTAAAAAAGTACTTAATATGTTTGTAACAAATAATGAACTTCAGCTTCCGGGTTAATGGCCCCCATCTCGATCAGGTTTTTGTCCAGTTTCCCTGATTCATTAAGCAAATGTTGATATGGCTCCTTGTTTTGCTTCTGAACATAAATGTAGCTTCACTATGCGCGCGTCTCGTTTTGCTTGTAAAAGGTAAGAATAGAGATAATGGCGAGTTGCTATTTCGTTAGCAAATGCCGAAAGTCATACTTGTAATTCGTGTACCGATGCAAATAAGTTTTCTGTAACTCAGAAACGAAAACAACTAATTTTCAAATATTTCTAATCTTGCGATATTGAAAATGTATTTCTATTTATTTATGTTAAACTTTTACTCATCTTTCAACTATTTATAGTTAAAATGACAGGAAGGGATTCTTGAACTCAAGACAACATGCGCAGGTAATCTCCCCCCCCCCTACGTCACATACAGTTTTTACTGGTTTTTGACTGAATAAATCTAAATATAAACTAAGTCATCTAATAAAGGCTCTGCAAAACGGCAATCGCTGCACTAAGCACGCTAGAAGATTGGACGATTTTGTCGCGTGACGCAGCCATTGCAATACGTCGACGAGGACATCGCAGTCGCCTTCTGCAAAGAGGTGCACTGTTATCGGCTGGGGAAATAAAATCGCCCAGTTCGTGCAGGAGCAAGCATCGAAGCGTCGGCGACTGCATAATCGGGTTGGCAGATACTATGGTTTTCCCAGAAAAGTTCAGAATTACCCCTAAAATCTATAATTCGCTCATGGGTAAAAATAACACTATTCTTTTCGTTAATGTTAAACCCTTCATGCCTCATCACGAGCAAATCAATCAACAAAAGCTCGGAGCCGTGGTGCAGAAAGGGATGTCGTCGTAATAGACGAAGAATTAAGATGCACGTAACTGGTATGACGCACCGCCATTTCCAAGATCACGGGGGAGAGGGTCTAGGGTATATTCTATACTCTGTTATTTCAGTATTTGTGTAGTCTGTTTCTGTCAAAAAATTTAACAGAATTTATTAGTTGATTAAAATTATTAATTGATTTATTACAGTAGTATTCAAGAGTTTATGTTGTGAAGTGTGCTTACTACTTTGTGAAAAAACATTAGTATGGTTTTGTTCAGCAGCATTTTTGATCCAGAAGGACAGTAGGATAGATTTGTCACAACGCTAAGCTCGTTACATTTCCTTCCCTTGAGGTTCATCGTTTTACTTCGATTAATTGATTAGTGATTCCAAGCGGGACAACGGCTGAGGTCTTTCGACCCGTAAGGGTAGTGCGTGCTTCTATGCGCGGGAGGTGGCGCTTGTCTTCCCCGATGAATAGCGGGATCCCGCGCCGGTCTGAGTCTGCTTGCTTCTGGAGGCGGTGTCTTCCCTAGCGTGGCACCTCCCCGGCCGGGACAGGCACGAGCTGCCCCATAAATGTAGTAGTGTAGTGGATGCGAGTGCGCTTGTAAGCGAGGGGTGAGGATCAGACAAGGAAGGGGAAGGAAAGAGAGCGCGCGGTCCGTGGCCAGCGTGGCCACCGTTGATCTGAGAAACTACGGAAAACTATCGATCTGAGCAGTCAGTCGCTAGAATACCTCTCCAGAAAGCGGCCTAATTCAACCTAGCTGTCTAGCTAGTGAGACTCGAACCATAGATTTTTTCCGGTCAGAGGTTTTGCTTTCGCCTTTTCGTAGAGTCGAACTCTTAGTGTTCGGTCATGAGTATCAAAATTTTTGCCTATAACGGGTTCGAATTTTTTCTCGTAAAAATTAGCTAAAAAGTTTCGAAAAACAGGATACCACACATAACTAACTTTACCTTAACGCTATTCCCCGATTGTGAAACAAATGCCAATAATTTCTATACGTCACTTACCGAGCACGCCTCCAACATAATCCGGAGCAATGCGTGTCAAAATAAACGCAGTCGAGGCGGAAAAGGTTGTGTAAAGCAACGCGAGGGGAAGCGCCGGGGGGCGCCCCGGCCAGGGCTGCGGGCGACGGCATAAGGCCACTCGCGTGAAAATGGCGTTGCTTCTGACGTCGTTTTATTAATAAAAATATCTAGCGCTAATATCAATCTTGTATGACGTTTAAAAATCACGCAAACAGTATTTTCATTAATTCTGATTTACACACTCACTGTCGAGTGTCAGAAACAAACCACCTTGGCTAGTGCATTATATGCGAGTATTATTAATCTTTTGGTTCACCTCAAGTGATTAATATAACAATGGTATACAGACACTAAAGAGAGAATAACTTTCTCAAATATTCAATTCCACTGTAACGTATATAAAGCATCGTGTAGTTCTGAATGATTTATTAGTAGTCCTATTATCGTTTACAATTATATATGATAGCGCTATGTTATCGGCTTCTGAATCTTTAGTGTATTTGTTGAGAGCAGGGGTACTATAGTTCAGAGTATTTTTTTAATAGTTTGAACAAGATCGTAAAAATTCGATATGAAGAGAAAAATATATACCGTGATTTTTAAGATTAGTTTAATATTATTAATACTCTCTTCTAGAGTTTATTTCACATTATTTATAATTATTTTGACGCTTAATGGTGTATGGAAATGATTGAACTTTGAACTTCATAATATGGGTTATAAATGTTTTCGCAATACGTTACTTTACAGAAAATTATATGTAAGCTCATTTCTGTCTTACTGCACATATTTCATGTCCAAAGGAGGCAATTATTTGATAATATTGATAGTAAAATTTGCTGTTTGATCCGTGCATGCAAGGAAGCAAATTAAATCCATTAAAGAAAATCAAATTTCATTACTTTTGATCATTTGAAGATAAATAAACAAATAATAATAACTAATTTTGATTGAGTACTATTTCTCTACAACTACTAAGATTGGATTGCTGTAAAACTAGCATTTGCGATGCTAGAAGGTTAAGTTTATCGAAGGGTTTCCCGGAAAATTTCAATTTGTTCAAGTAATTAACTCGAACACTTCGATGTTCATATTTAAAGTAGTTTGAACTTAGGTAGATGTGTGTTGCTATGTAAATTTATTACTGAATTAATAAAAACGTATTGAGTGTATATTTCAAAACTTCTTGTAGTTTTAGTGCTATTTATCTGCATATTTTGAATTATTGATGTCTAACGTCCTGTTGACATATTACCAATTCTTCTGCACACTTGTGGAGTAGAATTCGTTACGTGCAGGGCTGTAACCAGACATCACAAATATTGCTTACAGTAATATTTACGACACTACTAGATAATACAATATATTAATATTCAAATTAATAAAAAATATCTTTAGTTTCACCGAAAAAAGTATATTAAAATATGTGTAAAATTTTACTGAATTTGTAATGGTTCACTTTATTTAACATATGAAAGGGAGAAGAGTCTTTGTTGAACTATAATCTCTTTCACCTCTGTTTTGTAGGTGTAAGAAGTTACAGATTAAGAGAGGTGTTAGAAAAGCTCAACTTGGCATACGTGAATATGAAAGAACTTTAACAGTCGCACATCTACGGGACAGGTGTCTCAACGACGGATCCCACGTATATGTTCTCTTGGTAAAATATTACTATTTCATCATATAAGACTTATATTATTGGGAACTTTTCTAATCCCTAGTGATAATTCTGGCTTTGAATGCTCGGATGGTCGGATGTTCACTAAACAATCGGACAGTTTACATTGTTACAGATGACACTAAACAGGTTACAATTTTAAAATAGCATATGCTAGCTTCGTTTAAAAAAAAGCATCCCAAAGCCACATAAACAAATTCCAAATTCTTCAAAATAAGTGCTTCAGGAAAATTACCAAAGCTCCGTGGTTCACAAGCAATGAACAGTTGCACAGATTAAAATAGTTATAATAATTAAAAATAGAACCCATTGAAAATCATATTCCCAAAAAACCTTTAAGATATATTACCAGAATCTCAAACTACAGCTAGGTAGACAGCATTATCTCTAGATACCATCTAGGTAAGACTTACAGACACTGAAACAGAATCTACTTACGCTATCCTAAGGAGATTATCAATCCTCCTTAACCGTCTAAAATATTATATACTTCTCTCTCTCACACTCACACACCACACACACAAACATACACTCTCTCATGCACAAGAGTAAAAATATATCATTTCCTAACCATTAGTTCGTAATTATGTTAATGATCTCCTGCCGCGAAGTTTCACACGCACCGTGTATTTCCGTGAGGAAGTGCGGCCCGGAGATGCACTTGGACTGGGCTGACACAAAAACCTTGACGAGGGGCGGCGCGGGGGCGGGCAGCAACAGGTCTGTCTTGGCGCCCTTCCTCCGGATCGATGAAGCGGCGGCGGGAGCACAGCGGTGGCGGCGGCGGCGGCGACTGGGGGGAGACACAAACAAGGATTACATTGGGACACGGGCCGATTACGCGGCTTAAACGCAGTTCTCTGAAGCGTCGGGTTTCAGCTACAATTTGCACACTAATTTGAAACAACTCTACACTAATTTGCACTGAACAATAAATGACCGTCATTTATTGCTGTTTGTCCTGCTTCTCCCTGCAGTCAATACAAACGCGCTTATGCACGAATACGCGGCTTACATAAGTGGAAGTTTGATTCTTTGACGAATGTAAAATGTTAGAATAATATTGGATTAGATAGAGTTATTTGTTAGTTTTAAACATTTTGCTTTATTATACCGCCCGGTGGCTGCAATAGTGGCAAAACACAAAACTTCAGGTGTTGAAAAAATGAGTTTGAAGTTCTTACTTTTAATTGAATTGTTTAATTATTGTTTTCACACTTCTATCATTTGTTGATGGTGTAACGTTTCTTAGTGGTGAATTAAAACACACACGTAATATTTTAATAAAGACGTTTATTTTGTTTCTTAATAATACACTAAATTACTTGATTTATTTACAGATAAGTTTCACTCCACCTGGTAATTTCCTTACACACTGTTCTCTTCTCTTGTTTATTTATTTACGCTGTTCACTTCTTCTGATTATTGATTTACACTATTCACTTCTTCTATACTATCGCACAGTCCGAGGCATTGTCCAAAGTCCACTGCGCTGACCGCAATTCACTGCGCAGATCAGGGTCCAGCGCACTGCTGTTCAATGCGCTGAACATTTCACAGATCAGCTTCCGACTTCAGGCTGTTGTTCACCTACTGCACCACTGTTCAATGCAATGCACACTTCATATCTCAGCTTCCACTGCAGACTTCAAACTGCTGACTGTTTCCCTAGGTGATTAGCTACTAGGTGATTAGAGACCACTATTGCGTGTAACGGTATGGTAACTATGAGGATGACACAATATAATTATGATAGGGATGTGAAAGGACGAACACAATACAACCATACCCGAGGCGGTACTCGAACCCGCGATCTTTCGGTCCGAGATTGCTACAGCAATACTGCCTTAGAGATCTGGGCCATCCGAACCGGCTTAAAATTAAGTTTTGTTAATCAATTATGTTTTGATTTCATTGCATTTCTATTTTATTTATTACATAATTTGCATTGTACTTCCATAATTTCTTAAAATCATTCTCTGTGTTGCATATAATTATGTACAAAACGTGTGCCACCAAGCATGGCAAAAATTATTCAATTGCATTTAGTCATATGTCTTCCCCATAACTTTTAAATTATTAATATTTTTTTAATATTTCAGGTGTATAACATGACACCTAAAATCATTCATTGAGTTATTTTACATTTCGGTGCAAGAACTACTTTTAAGAATAGTTCAAATACGTATCATTTGGATAATTACTGCAGCAAAGGTGTTGAAAAAACCATGTTAAAAAACAATTTTCCAAACCTTGCATTATTTTTGCAAATGCAAGGTTATATATATATATATATATATAT